TCCCGCGCCGGCCGCGGCGTGAGGCCCGGAGAGCAGCGAACCTGAGCGCCAGCCCGTGGGAACGGCCCCACTTGGGGCGGGGGGCGCTTTTCCCAGCGGATGGGACGCCCCCCCCCGACGGCAGGCGCTACCGAGCCGGAAATCGCCGCCGCTAGCCCTGGTCCCCGCTTCCCCCGGGGCCCCTCGAGCGGCCGCTGCCCCGGGGAGCGTCGCCTTTGGGTCCCAGCCGGGCTGTGGGTGGAGGTGGGGAGGGCCTCTGTGGGCGTCTCTGTTAGGGGCGTGGGGCCTGTGGCACCCCAAGATGCCGCGCCAGGGTCGGGAGCCTCCTGCTTGCGGGGGGTGGCGGGGGGGTGAGCCGGGGCTGCCCCTCACCCATCCCCGTTCGGAGGCTGAAGCTGGACCCAGGATGTTGAGACCTGTGGATTGAGGCACTGGCACCAAAATAGCTTCTGCCTGAGCGGGGCGGGGGCGCCTTGCAGTGCTGCCGGGGATGTTTCTGCTTGAATGGAGCAGCGGAGCAGCCCAGGTAAGCCCAGCCGGGCCTTGCCGCCCCGGGCCCACCCCAGTTCCTTTAGATGTTCAAAAACCGGACCCCAAGAAAACCTAGCATCTCCCCTCCGCCCGTGCAGAATCTCCATCTCCAGGGACGTGCTTTGCAGAGGGGCCCAATTGAGGGTGCCGCTCAGAGCCCGTGGCCCGGGCATTTGCCTGTTTTTAGTGCTCAGGATATTCACAGAGCAGTGTTGTTGGTGGTGTTTCCCCCTCCCCCCCTGCCAACCTGGCACGGCTCGTCACTCCAATCTTTGGGTTGCTTAGAGAAATTAACAGCTTCTGTGGCAGGGCTGTCTTGCTCCCCTGTAACCAGGCTGTGTGGTGTGGCGAGCGTGTTTTCTTGTGCATGCAGAGTACTGGGGATAAAATGCTGGCTCTGTGCTTGGGAAAGACACCAGCTCCGGCCAGCCACAAGGCAGCCTGTATTCTCAGAAAATGTGTGCAGTAAGGATGATGTAACTGCCTCCCCACTGGCCAGGCTCTGGCCAGCTTACATCATAGGGGGCCTGCTCTGTGTGGGAAGATGAGAATTTTGCCATGACAAGAAGTTTCAGAAGTCAGCCCCGCCACCTGGCCACCTCATGCCCTGTAGCTGATGAGCCTTTCAGGTAGCAGTGCTCACAGGCAAAGCGTCTCGGCCCCGCTAAAAGGCAGCATCTTGGTGTCAGGCTCAGGTCTTGTCCCAGCCTCACCCCCTGTGGCCCTGTGACATGGGGCAAGCTGGTTCTGTGAACTGAGTCTCCTCCTTGATGTTGGGGTGTCATGTGGACTTCCTTGGGTTTTGAAGAGGACTTGGCAGAGGCCTGTGAGTGGCTCTCACATCACAGTTCATGGATGAGGCCAGACCTGTGTGCCTGAGTTCACAGCTGAGCCTTCCTGGCCCTGCAGGGGGACTCTTAGTGGCCTGGTCTTGATTTCCTCTTCCATGAGAAGTGTAGTTGCCTGGGAAGCCTAAGAATTGCTTGGTGCTCAGTAGGGCTCATTGTTGGTCTCCTTCTCTTTCCTTTGCTTGACTATCTTTTAGCATTTGCCTTTTTGCCTTTTCCCTCTCTCCAAGGTCAGTTCAAGGTTCCTCCTCAGTGGGCTCTGCAGCCTTGGCGGTTGGCTGTGAGCACCCGCTGGACCCAGGTGGCCTGCTGGCGCATCGCAGAGCAGTGGCCCCTGAGCAAAGAGCGGAGCGGAGGACAAGGCAGCCTTCCTGGGCTCATGGCTGACTCCCAGAGACAAGTCACAGCAGTGTTTAGGAGGCGTGGTGTCTTTTTTTTTTTTTTTTTAAATAAAATGTATTTTTGCAATGTTGGATGGAGCTCAGGGCTTTTGTATGCTAAGAAAGTTCTTTACCCCAGAGCTGCATCTCAGCCCCTGGATGTCCTTTTGAAATGGTTTTCAGATGAACCAAAAAGTAGTCCCTGGAACCAGATGCAGGATAGAAGCTTCTGGTAGATAAAGAACAGCCGTAGAGCCAATGCATGACTGGTGCACTTGACTGTTGCGGGAGTGGCCGGCGTGCTTTGATGGCAGATGCTTCGCTCTTCAGTGTTGTCCCACACTGTGTCTTCTCTGCTCTCCTCTGCTTTACCTTGGCCCCACCCTGGTGCTATCCAGGCCTGGGCCCAGGTGGTACCCTGTTGTACCAGGGTCAGAGACCAGCTAGGAATCTTAGCTCCTGGGAGCGTAGCCCACCAGGCTCCCCAGCTCCTTCTCCCTCTTTAGCTATCTCCTGGGGTTCTGGGGGCACCCAGAGCAGCTGAAGGGGGGCCCACATCTACTGTGCCAGCCAGTGTTAGGCACCATGGGAGACAAAACAGACACGCTCCTTGCCTTTGTGAGCTCACCACTGCCAGGTAGTAGGGAGACAGGGAAGTAGGAACAGCATGGAATTGGTGATTGTGATTGTGGTTTCCCTAAATAGGGTGACAGTGAGGGGCTGGGAAGCTAGGACTACCCAAGGTAAAAATTGACAGGTGGCCCCTAAGGGCTGGTCCTGGAGCCAAGGCCTAAATGGGGGTAAATGAGAACATGCAGGGGGACACGTGCGAAGGGCCTGAGGTAGAAGCGCGCCTGACCTGCCCGCCGGTGCAGCCCAGAGGATGAGGCATTGCTGTTGGCTGGGCAGGAGCCCGGCAAGGTGCCTCCACCTCCAGCAGGGGGTGAAATGTCTGCCAAGTGGTGCTGTGCCCTCTGCAGCCCCCAGGAATCTCCCCCAAACCGAGGCCAGCCAGGCCACTGGCTCCTTGGGGCAAAGATGATTTTATTGCCTTTGAGCTGAGCAAAGATCTGCACTTGGACCCGACAAGCCGCACCCGGTCCCTTGCCCCGCCCACTCAGGCAGTTACAGGGCACTGCAGAGGTGGCTTTAGTCCTGAGCAGGGCGGCCCCACCCAACGCAAGGACAGCAGTGTGGGCTGGGCAGCCCCGCGGCTGGAGGGGCCTGTGCAGGGCGCGGCCCTCAGAGGGCCCTCACCCGCAGGGAGCCCTCGCAAACTCACCTTAGTAAAGGTCACTGCCCCACGAGGTTGAGGTTGGCTCAGGTGACCTGAGAAGTCCCCGGGTTCCAGGTCATGCTCGGAGGCAGGGAGAACGCTACCGTGGCTCAGCAGATGAGGGGCACAGAGCCTAGGCCCTGCTCTGGAGGCTCTGTCCCTGGCCAGCTGCGGAACGCACCCACAGGGGACACTGGTTGCATCCCTTTCCCTTGCTTTAACTCTACAGTGGCGCCTTCTGGTTCTTTGGCTAAATAAAATACGAAATTGTAGCCAGATGCTATTCACGTCTGTCATCCTACCTACCCGGGAGGATGAGCTCTGAGACTCAAAGTTCAAAGTCAGCCCAGGCAGAAAAGCCCCTGAGATTCTCATCACCAATTAACCATAAGAAGCTGGAAGGAGAGCTGTGGCTCAAGTGGTGGAGCGCCAGCCTTGAGCACACCGAGCTCAGGGACAGCGCCCAGGCCCTGAGTTCAAACTCCAGGACTGGACTCCTTCCCTTCCCTTCTCCCCCCCAAAAAAGTAAATGGCAGAGATTGTGGAGGTGGAACCCAGGGCCTATATTTCTGACCATGCCCACTGTCCCCACTAGAACTTTCTGGTTATACCCTTGGAGGCCCTGGGGTCAGACCCCGCTGTGCCACAGCTGTGTGGCACAGTCCCTGCCTGTCCCTCCGTGTTCACAGCAGCGCCCACCGCTGCTCCTTCCTGCCCCCGGGAAGCAGGGTGTGGCGGGAAAGGCATGGACTTAGGGACTCTGGAGCCCCGCCTGTGGAGCCCAGGCCTGGGCTGGGCTGGGCTTTGCCTCCGCAGGCCAAGCCAGGGTAGCCTTCAGCCTTAACGCGTCTCTGTGCCTCCCCTTGCAGGGCCTCCGAGGGTCCCGGCCGGCGCCATGCCGCTGAGTTCAGCCCGGGCCCTGCCTGTAGCCCAGCAGCCATGGAGGAGGTGAGGTAGCCCCGTCTGGGGAGCCCAGCTCCATGGAGACGAAGTACAAGGATGAATTGTTTCGGAAGTATGTGCAGTTCCACGAGGGCCACGTGGATGCCGGGCCCAGCCAGCAGCGGCCGGGCAGCGATGAGTTCCTGCGCGTGGCGGCCTCTACCCTGCTCAGCCTCTACAAGGTGGATCCCTTTTATCGATTCCGGCTGATCCAGTTCTATGAGGTGGTGGAGAGCGCGCTGCGCTCTCTGAGCGGCTCCAGCCTGCGGGCTCTGCACTGCGCCTTCAGTGTGCTGGAGACAGTGGGCGTCAACCTCTTCCTGTACCCCTGGAAGAAGGAGTTCCGAAGCATCAAGGTGAGGCGGGCTGCCATGCCCACGGCTCTCCCTTCTCGTCCCTTCCCGGCCCTTGGAGGCATGGCGGCGAGCCCGTGGGTCACCTTCTATTGGCTGAGCCCCGCTTCAGTCGTGGTAGCAGGAGGAAGGGAGTTTGGGGGAGGTTCTGATTGTCACAGTGGAGGGCCGGGGTGTGTCCCCCCCATCCCAGAGTCTAAGGAGCCCCAGGGCTGGGGGCTGTGCACTTCCTAGCCTCCGCCTTCTTCAGCTAGCCAGCCTCGGCCTTTCCCTGCCCCGCGCCTCCTGGGTTTGGCTGAGGCCATGCTAACCCGTTTTTTATTCATTTTCTTTTCTGTGTGCCAGTTTTGTGGTTTGAACTTAGGGCCTTGGGCAGTGACCCTGAGCTTTTGGGCTCAAGGCTGGCACTCTACCACCTGGAGCCGCAGTGTTATTTCTGGCTCTTTGGTGGTTATTTGAAGGTAAGAGTGTCACAGACTTTCCTGCCCAGCTTTCAAGCCTCACTCCTCAGGCTCAGCCTTGTGAGTGGCTGGGATTTTATGTGGGAGCCACTGTGCCCAGCAACCTCTCTCTTTTTTTTTTAAACCAGTCCTGGGATTTGAACTTGGGGCCTGGGCACTGTCCCTGAGCTGCTTTTGCTCAAGGCTAGCACTACCACTTGAGCCACAGCTCCACTTCTGGCTTTTTCTGTGTATGTGGTGCTGAGGAATCGAACCCAGGGCTTCATGCATGCTCGGCGAGTACTCTACCACTGAACCACGTTCCGAGCCCTCAACCTCTTTTCTGACCCCTCTTCTCCTAGACATACACGGGCCCTTTTGTTTACTACGTCAAGTCTGCTCTGCTGGATGAGGACGTGCGGACCATCCTGAGTTACATGGGCTATGTGCCCGAGCTGGGGAGCGCGTACAAGCTCCGGGAGCTCGTGGAGAGCCTGCAGGTGAAGATGGTCTCCTTCGAGCTCTTTCTGGCCAAGGTTGAGTGTGAGCAGATGCTGGAGATCCACTCGCAGGTAAAGGACAAGGGCTACTCTGAGCTGGACGTGGTGGGCGAGCGCAAAAGCAGCGGGGAAGACGCGCGCAGCTGCTCGGAGGCCCTGCGGCGGCGGGCGGAGGGCAGGGAGCAGCTGACCGCCTCCATGGCGCGGGTGGCGCTCCAGAAGTCAGCCAGCGAGCGCGCGGCCAAGGACTACTATAAGCCCCGCGTGACCAAGGCCTCCCGGTCGGTGGACGCGTACGACAGCTGCTGGGAGAGCCGGAGGCCGCCCCTCAAGGCCTCGCTGAGCCTGCGCAAGGAGCCCGCGGCCACAGATGTGGGCGACGACCCGAAGGACGAGTTCACCCGCCCATCCCCCTCCCCCCTGGCCATGTCCAGCTCCCCCCATGGCAGCCCGGGTGCCATGCCCCCCGCCTCGCCCAGCAACGGCCTCGGCCTGCTGCGCGGCACCTACTTCTCCACCCAGGAGGATGTCGATCTGTACACAGACTCGGAGCCCAGGGCCACCTATCGGAGGCAGGATGCCCTGCGGCCCGATGTATGGCTGGTCAGGAGTGACGGCCCGGCCCTCTACCACAAGCGCTCGCCCCCCACCAAAGAGTCCGTCCTGTCCAAGTGCCAGAACTGCGGCCTGCCCTGCAGCTCCTCCCTCTGCCAGCGCTGCGACAGCCTGCTCGCCTGTCCTCCGGCTGCCAAGCCCGGCGCCTTCCCCGGGAAGGCCTCTGCCCATGACGGCCTGGCCCTCGGGGCCCCGCTGCGGGAGAAGTACGCCGGCCAGACCCAGGCCCCACACGCCAAGCCCAAGCCCGCCGCCGCCGCCACCACCACCTCGCGCTGTGGGTTCTGCAACCGCCCTGGCGCTGCCAACACCTGCACCCAGTGCTCCAAAGTGGCCTGCGAGGGCTGCCTCAGCGCCTACCACTACGACCCCTGCTGCAAGAAGGGGGAGCTGCACAAGTTCCTGCCCAACAGCCAGCTGAGCTACAAGACCGCCCCGTTCTCCCACCTGGTCTACAGGTAGACCCGCGCCGCGCCACGCCACGCCGCGCCTCCCCAAGGGCTACGCCACCCGCGGCAGCATCACCACCGCAGACCACGCCCGGCCACAGCCACGCGGGCGCCATGGCCACCGGCCGCCCACCTGCCACTTCACGGCCACTCTCATCTCGCCCAGTGGCTGCTTTGTCATGTGGCAAGGGAGTGGGTGGCACTTCCGTTCAGTTGAGTTTTGCTAATCTCTCCACTTCCTGTTGCGCTGGTTTGGTTTGTCTCCTGGAGGGGGTCTCTATCTGCGGGACACCGCCCTCTCCCCTGGAGCCCCTCCCCCCACACACATACACAGTGGTGAGCTAGAGCCCTGTCGGCTTGCGAAATGAGCCCTCCGGCCACACGGGCCCATGGCTCCTCTGGCCATCCTGTTCCTCTCTGGCCATCCTATTCCAGGTGCAGGGGTCCCCATGCAGACCCCGCCTCTCCAGGGGTCGAAGGTGAGCCAGGCTCTGACACACTGCAGAGGGGACCCCCAGCACCGACCCCATTCTGTTTGCACACGCCCCTCTTCCTGTTCTGTAAATAGATATTTTTTGAGATTTATTTTTAAATAAATATTCAACTTGCTGTGTTCAAAGTGGTTAAATGTGAATGATGTAGCTGTTTATAAACACACTGGGTTCTTCCGTCTTCCAAGGGCGGCCTCTGCCCTCCGCTGCCGCCTCTGCTGGCCAGGTGAGAGGGCGCCGGGGCAGGGAGAAGCTGGCCGCACCCCTCTCCCTCCGGTGGAGCTCTGTCTTCCGCGCTACACCTACCTCCGGGGTGCAGCGTCTTGCAGACTGACCCCGCAGTGGGGGCTCGCGGGCCCCGGCCCCTTTCCCTGGTCTCTGGCGCCTGCTAAGCGTGAAGCCGGCTCTCCAGACTTTTCTCCCGGCTCCCGCAGAAGGAAGATGAGCTGGGGCGCCCGCCTGTCCTGGGCCTCCTGCTTCCTGACACCCGAGACTCACGGGCACTGACACTTGCCGTCATTTTGCACTAGGAGTGGGCAGAGCAGCATGTGTGTCAGACAGACACACCCGCCCTGCACAGAGCCTCGCACTTGCACACCCGAAGCTTTCCTTTGGGGGTGCAGAGCAAGAGTGGGGCAAGAAGCTGGAAATGGATCACTCCTGAACTGAGGGCGTGCGTGTGCCATGCACACGGGAGTCGGTGCCCGCAGAGGCGCTGGGCTCCGCCAGCTTCAACCCGGCTGCAACTTGAGACCACTGTGAATTTGCTGCCGCTCTTCCAGCTCAGCCGAGTGGTTTTAAGGTTTTCCAGCTCTTCCACGGCTCTTTTTATATCTGTCTGGTAGATCCTGTGTCGATGTATATAAAGTTGAATTGCAGCCACCAGCCTGTGGGGTGTTCGTGGTTCCTTTTCCCATTTCACAACTGGCAAGGTCCAGCCCACTCCGGAGCGCTCTGGTTTTCTAGTTTTCCATTTCCAGATAGCTCCAGCATGGCAGTGGCTCCTGGCAGGCGGAGCTGTGGCGCTGCTGAGTCCCGAGAGCTCCCGGGGCCGCAGCCACTCCCTGCTGTGGCTCTTTATAAACGGTGATGGGACAGTTGAGTAAATGCGAGTGAAACATGCACATGTTTTGCATTTGATTTCTACTAAGTATTGAAATGTTGAGAGATGATTTTAAAAAATAATAAAGTGTCTTCCATTGTTAAATGAAGTGTTGGGGTTTTGTGTCCCGTCCCTCCGCATTTCTCTTAGAAGTGGGGTTGCTCTGGTTTGGAAGTCATCTGTAGTTCATGACTCTTGTCCTCTGAGACTGACAGCAGCAGTCGCGCGGGCTCTCCGCAGGTGCCACACAGGTGTGACCACTGGCCTCCAGGATGTCACGGCAGGGCTGCAGCCCCGCTGGATGGTAGCCCAGAGGCCTGACATCAGAACTTTAATTCCGTACCTCCCTCCAGGAGTACGCGTTACTGGCCCCCGGATGGAGTGCCGCTCAGCCCCACCCAGCTGCTGTGGGCGCCTAGGAGTGCTCGTAGCTTCTAAGGCAGGCGCTTCCAAGCGCAGCTGTGAGATTACCTTTAAACCAGCCGTCAGAGTGCTAAGCATGGGTTCCATCCCTATTTTATTATTTTTTTTGTCGGTTGTGGGGATTGAACTCAGGGCCTGGCGCTGCTGTCCCTCAGCTCTTTAGCTCAAGGCGAGTGCTCGGCCACTTGAGCCACAGCACCACTTCTAGTTTTCTGGTGGTTTATGGGAGGTAAGAGTCTCCTGGATTTTCCATCCTGGGCTGACTGAACTGGGGTCCTCAGATCTGAGCCTCTTGAGTAGCTAGGATTACAGATGTGAGCCACCAGTGCCTGGCTTTTATTATTTTTTGATCTCTATTTTTTTTTGTCAGTCGTGGGGCTTGAACTCTGGGCCTGGGTGCTGTCCCTCAGCTCTTCAGCTCAAGGAGAGTGCTCTACCACTTGAGCTACAGCGCCACTTCTGGTTTTCTGGTGGTTTATTGGAGATAGGAGTCTCACGGTCTCTCCTGCCCGGGCTGGCTTTGAACTGCGATCCTCAGATCTCAGCCTCCTGAGTAGCTAGGATTACAGGCGTGAGCCACCAGCGCCCGGCTTGATCTCTATTTTTAAAATGATAAAAATTAGTTGGGCGCTGGTGGCTCATTCCTGTAATCCTAGCTACTCGGGAGGCTCAGATCTGAGGATCATAGTTCAGAGTCAGCCCAGGTTGAAAGGTCCCTGGACTTATTTCTAGTGAATCACCTGAAAACCAGAAATGGCGCTGTGGCCTCAAAATTGTAGAGCACTAGCTGTGAGCAAAAAAACCCTCAGGTACAGTGCCCAGGCTCTGAGTTCAAGCCCCACAATCCACCAAAAATAAAAACACAACAAAAAAGCCATAAAAATCTATTCAAGGCCAGGCACCTATAATTCTAGCTACTCAGGAGGATGAGCTCTTATGAGTATGGTTTAGAGCCAGTCTGGGCAAGAAAGTCTCAAAAACAGAAGTGGCCCTGTGGCTCAAGTGGTAGAGTGCTAGCCTTGAGCAAAAGCTGCTCAGGGACAGCTCCTAAGTCCTGAGTTCAAGCCCCAGTATCACATAAGAAAAAGCAAAACCCAAGGCAGATGTTGAGAGTGAGGAAAGTGCTGGGGTTCTAGCAGACCTGGCTTTCTGCACCAGCCCCACCAAACATTGCTGGACAGGCCCTGAGGCAGGGCACACAGCCACAGGGAGGAGATGGTGTTTCTGCCAAGCAAGAACCCAGGCCTCCATGCTGGCATTGCTGTCAGCTGCCATGATCTGACAGGAAATGGGTGCCTAGAGGTTCCTCAGCCTGGAAAATTGGAAGACGCCAGCCCAGCCATCTAGAGGGGGCGGTGACAGAGCAGATCTCTTCCTTTGTATATGTAAACGACAAACACTTAACCATCACCAAGTTCACCAGCTGTACAGGATTAGCTTTGATGCCAGCTCCAAGTGCCAGGCTGTGGTACCACACTGCCTGCCTGCCGTGGAGGGATGGAAGCTGTGGCACACTGAGTTGTACCCCAGTCTTCAGTTGCCTTTTCCCCTTGATAATGGAATCCTGGTTTTTTTTTTTTTTTTTGCCAGTCCTGAGTCTAACTCAGACCCTGGGTGCTGTCCCTGAGCCTCTCTGTGCTCAAGGTTAGTGCTTTACTACTTTTGAGCCACAGCACCACTTCTGGTTTTTGAGTGATTGGAGATTAGTCTCCCAGAGACTTCTCTGCCCACGCTGGCTTTGAACTGTGATCCTCAGATCTCAGCCTTCTGAGTAGCTAGGATTACAGGAATGAGCTACTGGTGCCCAGCTACATCTTAAATTTTGTATGTGGCATAAGGTGGCGGTCTAACACCACCCTTTTACATGTAGATGTTCAGTTTTCCCAGCCCTGTTTGCTGGAGGGACTGCCTGCCTTCTCCCCATTAAACAGTGTAGGTGGCCTTTTTGATGTTTATTTGGCCATGATCACAAGGGTGTATTTCTGGCTATTCTATTCCACTGAGCTGTCTATCAATACCACACTATTTTGAAAACTGTAACTCTGTTTTTGTTTTGCCAGTCCTGGGGCTTGAACTAAGGGCCTAGGCACTATCCCTGAGATTCTTTTTGGCTCAAGGCTAGCACTCTACCACTTGAGCCACAGTGCCACTCACTTCCTGCTTTTTCTGTGTATGTGGTACTGAGGAATTGAGCCCAGGGCTTCATGCATGCTAGGCAAGCATTCTACCAGTGAGCCACCTTCCCAGCCCAGGGCTTGAGCTCAGTGCCTTAAGCTCTTTCATGGCTGGGGATGGCACTACTTGACAGTCTTGCCTCCAATTCAGCATTTTCTGGCTAATTGGTGATGGACTTCACTGCCTGGGCTAGCTCTGAAGCGTGATGCTTCACATCTCAGCGGACTCAGGACCTTGTATTGTAGACAGGTGCTCTACTGCTGTGTCCAGTCCCCTTTTATTCTTGTTCAGATGAGTCATGTGTTTCCCTGGGCCAGCCTTGGCCTTCTATCGTCCTACCTCTATCTCTCAAGTAACTAGATTATAGGCGTGTGTCACCAGGCTCAGCACCTGGGTGTGTGTATGCACACGTGCTTGTACTCAGGGTCTGGGCACTGGTGTGTGTGTGTGTGCATGCACGCGCACACTTGTACTCAGGGCCTGGGCACTGTCCCTGAGCTGTTTTGCTCAAGGTTAGCATTCTACCACTTGAGCCACAGTGCCACTTCTGGCTTTTTGGTGGTGAACTGAAGATAGGCCTTGACTAGATTTGGACTACAATCCTTAGACCTCAGCCTCCTAAGTAACTAGGATTACAGGCATGAGTCACCAGCACCCGCCCCTTTTACTCATTCTTGCTTGCTCATTCAGCTGCCTGTCTGTACCAGATCTGTTCTCAGCTGCCCTGCTGGGCCAGGCCAGCATCCCCTGTGTCCCCTGGACATGCCATGGGTAGAGCACAGGAATGCCTCGAGGGGAGGGTGAACAAACTTTTTTTTGGGGGGGTCCGGTCGTGGGGCCTGAACTCTGGGCCTGGGCGCTGTCCCTCAGCTCTTCAGCTCAAGGCTAGAGCTCTACCACTTGAGCCACAGCGCCACTTCCGGCTTTTTTCTTTTTGCTTATGTGGTGCTGAGGAATCGAACCCAGGGCCTCAGTCATGCAAGACAAGCGCTCTACCACTGAGCCACCTTCCCAGCCCCATTTAAAATCTTGGGAACTCTTTTCTTTTTTTTTGTCAGCCGTGGGGCTTGAACTCTGGGCCTGGGCGCTGTCCCTCAGCTCTTCAGCTCAAGGCAAGCGCTCTACCACTTGAGCCACAGCACTACTTCTAGTTTTCTGGTGGTTTATTGGAGATAAGAATCTCACGGGGGGGGGGAAGGGGGGGCGGTTGCCTGCTTGCCTTGCATGCATGAGGCCCTGGGTTCCATTCCTCAGCACCACATAAGCAAAAAGAAAAAAGCCGGAAGTAGCACTGTGGCTCAAGTGGTAGAGCGCTAGCCTTGAGCTGAAGAGCTGAGGGACAGCGCCCAGGCCCAGAGTTCAGGCCCCACGACCGGACCCCCCCCCTCCCAAAAAAAAAAGATACACAGATGCTTTTCAAGAGAAAGAGCACATTCTTACTTTAGGGACAAAATCCAAAACCTGGAGCCCGTGCAGTAGTGGGGCATAGGCTCCTGGACTTCTGCGACCTGTCTGGGGCCTGTGCAGTAGTGGGGCATAGGCTCCTGGACCTCTGCGACCTGTCTGGCCTTCCACCAGCTTTTGGCCTCGAAAGTGATCTCTTCTCATGCCTGCTCCTCTCATTCCCCAGAGGGCCTGGCAGTCAAACGTGAATGGATGTCCCACGGGGCGGTGTCCTGGGCCAGCAGACCAGCCCCATCTGACCCGAGTCCCTTCCCAGCCCCCAGGGCCGGCTCTGCTGGTGCCAGGGCCTGTGGCTTATGTCTCCCAGTGCTGTAGTCCAGTCGGCCCCCACGTCCCACACCCGCAGCTCCTGTTATGGTGGTGGCTGCCTCTGGCTAGCAGGCTGGGGACATCCAGGTCCAGTTGGCAAGTTCTGCCCCTCCTGCCTGGGCTGAGCTCTTGCCTCCTGGGTTCCTTTGCCTGGGACCTTATACACGGCCCGATGCCTAGCAGGTCCACGAGGGTGCAAACAAACTCCTGGCCCTGTCTCCCTCCCTCCTACCTGAAGACAGCTGTGGACACAGAAATGGCCCCTGTTGGACAGTGGGCTCGGAGTGCCAAGGAAAAGGCACTGGCCAGGCTGGGGCTGGCCCCACTGGCCTCTGAGCAGTCCCAGGCCCAACTCCTAGGCACTGTGCTGGAGCCTGCCGCTGCTGGCCGAGGAAGACGGCAGGCAGGCCCAAGGACTCAAGTGGCATCTAGGAGGGAGAAACCCCATGTCTGCCAAGCCACTCGACATGGCGGAGACCAGTTCTGATTGAGCAGCATCTTTATTTCTAAATAAATATCCAGTGATGTGACTTCTCCAACCACTTCTAAGTGTGTAAGACAAGACAAGCAGGGGCAAAAAGGAGGCCCGGCCCCCCTCGGCCTCCCCTCCCCCTCCCAGAGGAGCAGCAAGAGGCCTGCAGGGGCACAGGCCCGGCCCCAGAGCTCCAGAAACCCCAGGGGAAAGCTGCCCAGGAGGAGCTTGAGAATGCAGGGCCCTGGCCGTGCAGGTCTGAGCTCCGGTGGAGGCCGGGCACACCTGCGGTGGCCTCCAGGGCACACAGCCCCCCACCCCCCAATCTCTACCCAGGCCAGGCTGGCTGCACAGCGGGGATGAGCCCTCACTGAGGCCAGGGTACTTGACGGCACTTTTGCCCCCTGGGGCCGGGAAGGGGCAGCAGAGCAGCAAGGAGCCGGGGGAGAAACGCTCTGGTCCTTCCCTAGCACCGAGGTATGCCCTGCACTGGGAATTGGCAAGAGCCCAGAAGGAGGGAGCCTTGTGTGTCACAGAGCAGCTGTCAGCCCCAAGGCCGGGTTCCGGACGCTGGGCTCTGTCCAGCATGGAGCCATGCCCACTGCAGAAGAGGGGCAGCAGCCAGCAGGCCGGACTGCGGGTGGCTTCTGCTCTCCACCTCAGGTTCTTCATCAGGGCAGATAAAGATCTGCATGGCACTGAGGGCAGCTCCAGGCCCAGGCAGCCCAGCCACCATGCCTGGGGCTCCTTCCGCCAGGGTGCAGCCCATGGGAACAGGGACCCATGAGCTCAGAAGGCCACATCCGTCTGCTGGCCTGGAAACACAGTTAAACCGTTCCCCATACACAGGGATCTGTGGGTCACTGGGGTCTGGGGACTCGGGTGGGCACTTCCACAAGCGGGGCCATTGGCCCAGCCAGCACTGCTCTGCAAGATGCACTGGTGGCTTCTCTGCCCTGCACTGAGGGTCTGGGTACCCGAGATGGCACCAAGCCACCCTCGCTCGCCAGCCCGGGATGGCATGCACATGGCAACTTCACTCACCGAGGGTACAGGCCCCCAGAGCCATGCGTGGGGGCTGGGCAGAATGCAGCAGTTACAGAAAGGGCAGGTGAGGCGTGGGTGACACCACCCACCTTCTGCAGAGTTGGGAAGCCAGCACCCAGGCACCGGACCCACGGTGTGTGTGCGTGCGTGTGTGTGTGTGACTTGAGGTCACTTGTGTCCCAGGTGTGATTGTAGAATCCCTGCTCTGGAAGCCTGGCTCAGAGGGCCGATGGAACCCACGATGGCGGGGAATGGGAGAGAGAAGGGACAGAGCCCTGAGCAGCAGTGAGGGTGGTGGCAGGTAAACAGCAGCCTGGGAGGACGGGCAGAGGAGCGCCGGGGACAGGGAGCAGGCGGTGGGGTGGTTACGAGGCTCGCGCTTTGTCGCTGCGCTGTCCACAGGACCCCATACTTCCCACTCCTCTCACTAGAGGGCGCTGTGACGCCACAGGAAGGCCCGGGAAGGGCTCAGGCTGGAGAATGGTCCTTCAGTGTTTCTCAGGGAGTGGGGGACGCTGCGGTCTCTAGGTCTTGCCCCTGGGTCAGAACGGCTGCTGCTCCTCACAGAGGCACAGATGCCACCCAGCCTGCAGGCTGTTCCAGGGGTCGAGGATGGAATGGGCTGGCAGTCCCTGGCCGGCTCCCAGCAGGCTCTGGGCAGCCCCTGCTGGCAGAGGAGGGGAGCATTTACCTGGGACTGTGGTCAGCCACTCAGGCCGGCTCAGCAGGGAGTGTGGGGCTGGCAGGCATTTCTGAACCAGCTAGCTCCAAAGGCCTAGAAACTTCCACAAGGGGAGCAGCCACCTTCCACTTGCCGGTCTTACATCCTGGAGAAGCTGCCGAAAGCAAGCTGGCGCCTCTGAGTCCCGGGCCCCAGAAGCTTGGCCCTCGCGCCGTCAGAACAGCTCCTGCTCGTCGTCCTCGGAGCCTGACGGGCCCTGGCGCACCTCCTCGTACCACTTGTTGGTGAGGCTCTTCATCTGGATGCGCCCGCGGTGCAGGTCCTGGGCACGGACACAGGAGCCGGTCAGCGGGAGGAGGGGCGGGGCAAGGCCACAGCGAGCAAACAGAAAGCACCACTGGGCACATGGGAGGGGCAGGGAGCTAGACAGCCCACGGCCTCAGGAATAGACGTGTGGGCTCAATTCTCCCCCAAAACCTCAGTTTCCCCCTGCTGTCAGTGAGCTAGCGCTGGGCCTCCTGCACGGCCGGAGAGCACGTGGCCCAGTGCCCAGATCCTGAGACCCCTCCGACAAGCTCGTCCTGGCCAGGCCGCCGAGACGGGACGGTCCAGAGGGATGGGGACGGCTGCGGGCACACCCCCGGCCTCACCTCTCACCTCATCACCTCCCGAGGGGCCCAGCAGCACCCAGGCACTCCTGGGTACTGCCCAAGGCCACAGAGTGCCTGAACTCCTCAGCCCGGCTTGGGGAGGACATTGGGAAGGAAAAGCAGGGGCGGCTGAGCTCTGCTCCCCCAGCCCACAGGGAGTGGGGTACACTGGTGGCTCCCACAGGCCTCCCGCAGCCTGCCCCCGGCCCCGGGCCTGTCCCACCTCCTGGGTCAGCCGCCGTGTGAAGAAGGGGTTGAGGTACTTGGCGTCCAGCCACATGAAGCCCTTGAGCTCCTGCCGCCTGAGGTAGTGCGCTTCGTACTCCTCCTCCGTGAGCTCCGACAGGTGCTCCGACTCCACCGTGTTGCCCTGGGGGACAGGGAGCCCCCAGCTGTCAGCCACTGCTCCCCGGGACCTCCTACCACGCAGCCCTCACTGTACCCTCAGTGCAGGGCAACCAAGGGCACAGCAGCCCCCTGGCCCTCGGCTGGCACAGCTGAGTCAGAAGCTCTGGGAGCCGGGTGGGCAGGCAGGGGAGGGGCGGGCAGGGGGAAGGAGGGGGAAGACAAGCCTGGAGATGAGGACCGAGGCTCTTCTGCTCCACCCAGCAGAGAGGCCCCAAGCCAGCAGAAACCTCATGAAGCCACCACCACTACTGTCGCCACCATCATCACCAGACACCGCCACCGATGACACCCCTCCCACCCCAGGCCGGGCCTGTGGGGCAGATGGGGGGGCGCATCCTGATCTGTGCTACAGAGATGCCAAAGCTTTGCTCCCACACAAGCAACAGGACCTAGCGGCACCCTCCCGCCTGCAGTCTCCGCCCCAGTAGGTCAGGCCAAGAAGCTGAATCTATCAAGTTCCGGGGCTGCCACTGGCAGTGCTCACCCGCAGCACACATACAAGCACCATACAAGCACCTTCTGCAGGCAGTGTTGTGGTGCCTGACCACAGCGCATGTGCATGCTGAAGGAGCCCGGCCTCTCACCTCCACAAGAGGGGCTCCAGTCCCCGCAGTGCTTATTACAAAGGCCCCTTCTGTTGAGTGATGCCCAGCAGCCTACACCCACTCTTAAAAACCAGCAAGTATGCCTGTCATCCTAACTACTCAGGAGGCTGAGATCTAAAGATTGGGGTTCAAAGCCAATCCAGGCAGGAAAGTTCTTGAGACCCGAATTAATTACCAAAAAGCAGGAAATGGAGCTGTGGCTCAAAGGGCTAGAGCATTAGCCTTGAGCACAAAAGCTCAGGGACAGCACCCAGACCCTGAGTTCAAGGCCCAGGACTGGCCCCTAACAACAAAACCCAGCAAGAAAGGTGGTGGGTGGACAGGGCAAGCAGAAGGGCCTGCACATGGGAGCCCACAGAGTTCGGCCCAATGTCACCTAAAGGCCCGCCCCACCACCAGCCCTGTGCTGGTGCCAACTAAGGGGCTGAGGGGCCGGGAGGCCCAGTCTTCCAGACCTGTCTCTACTCACAGGCAGGCTGTGAGGATTCCTGCTACCTGCAAAGGAGCACTAGAAAGGGGCAGGGCAGCACCAGAGGTGGGCAATGGGTATAGGAAAGGTAGTTTCCACTGAAGCCACCCTGGACCCCTCCAGCCCTAGCCTGTGCCCTCCACAGCCTGTGTCCTGAGGGAGGCCACCTCCTTGATGGCCCAAGCAGCCACTGCAAGCTGCCCTGCCCTCTGTAGGTCCCAAAGGTGTTTGAGTGAGCACTGGGGACACTGATCTGGACCTTTCCAGGCCAGGTCTCTGGCAGGGGCAGGGCTGCCTGGTTCTACCCAGCACCCTTTGCTGAAGATGGACCATGGGACTGGTGGACATGCTACCACACAGACCCACACTTTCGAACCTGTGCTGCACACACCAGGCATCCCAGGACCCCAGGCCTGCCCTTCCCACAGGCAAGGCCCCCAGCAGCACGGCACTGACCATCTTCTCGGTCTTGCTGAGGTTGACGTCCTTCTTGCTCCTGCGGCGAGCCCTGGCGTCCTCAATGTCCATGAGGCGGATGAGGGGCATGGTGCTGCCACCCAGCAGCAGGATGGTGAAGAGCACAATGATGATCGTAGTGGTGCCAATGAGCTGCCGCTTCTCCATGGGCTCCAGGTCCAGGTGCAGACTCAGGGCGTAGGGGATGGCCCCCCGTAGGCCTGAGGGGACAGCAGCGGGTCAGGAGCCCAGGAGGCGAGGATGCTGCCTCAGACCCCGCAGTGCTTCCTGGTATGAGCGGCTGTACAGAGCCAGGCTGCCCTTGCACTGGCTGGCAATCCTGCTTCAGGCACAGGAGTGCTGGGATTACAGTTGTGCATCAGTACAGCCAGTTGACACACACACTGTGGTATTTTTGGTGCTATTGGGATTTGAACTCAGGCTGTCTCTCTCTCTTTTTTGTTTTGTTTTGTCCGTCATGGGGCTAGAACTCTGGCCCTGGGTGCTAATTGGAGATAAAGAACCTTAGGGATTTTTCTGGCTTTGAATCTCAATCATCAGATCTCAGTCTCCTAAACAGCTGTTATTATAAGCCTGAGCCACCAGTGCCACACCAGATCTTTTGAAAGTAATTTTTTTTTTTTTATTGGTTGGTCATGGGTCTTGAACTCTGGGCCTGGGCACTATCCCTCAGCTCTTCAACTCAAGGCTAGCGCTCTACCACTTGAGCCACAGCACCACTTCTGGTTTTCTGAGTGTTTTTTTTTTTTTGGGGGGGGGTCCGGTCATGGGGCCTGAACTCTGGGCCTGGACGCTGTCCCTCAGCTCTTCAGCTCAAGGCTAGCGCTCTACCACTTGAGCCACAGCACCACTTCCGGCTTTTTTCTTTTTGCTTATGTGGTGCTGAGGAATCAAACCCAGGGCCTCATGCATGCAAGGCAAGCGCTCTACCACTGAGCCACCTTCCCAGCCCCTTCTGAGTGGTTTATTGGAGATAATAGTCTCACACACTTTCTGCCCAGGCTGGCTTTGAACCACAATACTCAAATCTCAGCCTCCTGAATAGGTAGGATGACAGACATGAGCCACTGGTGCTTGGCCTTGAGAGCAATCTTAAGACAAATTTAAAGCTTGCTATAAATGCAAGAACGTTATGAAGTATGTTGCTATATTCTAACTCATATGGAAATGCTTCAATCATAACACTTAAACAAGGAAGCACAAAGAACTCTATGTATTCCCCCAAAATGGAAAGATGCGTAAGGATCCGTTTTTTTAGGAGTCAAAGCTTTATAAAATCATTTTCATGCTTGAAAATGTGGAGAAATGACTGAACGGCAGCTGAAATATTCCAAGAAACTGCTAGAACTCTGGCTGAAGGAAAAAATAGCCACCCTGAGTATGTCGGGGCTAGGAGGGCTGAGGTAGGGCATCTGCCTTCTAGCATGAAGTCCTGGGCCACCTGCCCAGTACTGCCAAAAGCAAAGGCACAGCCGCCTGTCCCCATGAGCCATAAGAAGGGGACAGGGCAAGGCTGGTCCTGGCTGCCTGCTGACAGTCAGGGGTCCTGAGCCGGTCCTCTGCCCCTCCATGGAGCACAGGGGGCCGTCTGCCTCAGGGTGCCCTGGGAAGACAGTAACCCGGTATCTGGGCAGGCCTTTATCACCGCTCTCCCCTCTGTTGACTCTCTTACCACTAAACCACATGATGAACATCATCTTCGGAGTGATTTTATGGTCACGGAAGAAATTCAGCAGATAGGAAAGAGGGAAAATGTTGACCGCTCTGCCAAACAGGACGAGCACCTGCGAGCACAAATTGAGTCAGCTCTGCTGCTTCTCACTGGATCTCGTGGCTGCTGCCACAGGGGGTGCACCCGCGCCAGAGTCCATGTGTGGGGGACAAGCTCTGTGTCTCACGTTTCCACAGTGGGAGGAGAGCCAGGGAGCAACAGGGCCAATGGCCAGAGCCCAGGCAGAAGCCATCCATCAAGTCAAGGGCGCCTGACTGAGACAGGCTGCTGCTGTCTTCCCCACAGGGTGAGCTCTGGAGGGCAAAGGGTTTCTGCCTCCCTGTGGGGCCCCACTCCCCACGGCAAGGTGGCAGACTGATGTCGACCTGGAAATGGACATTAGCTCTGGACAAAAGGAACCTGCAAGTACCTGCCATGGCTTTTGGCTTCCACCATCTCCAAAGGCCTTAGTCCTAATGACACACAGTCTATGGGGTTGGGTGGGGCTTCCTAGCATGCACAGGGCCTCTGGGTTAGGCACCCAGCACTGGGGAAAGGAAAGACAAAAGCAACCAGGAGTTGGTGGCTTATGCCTGTAATTCTAGCTACTCGGGAGGCTGAGATCTGAGGATAGAGGTTTGAAGCAAGCTGAGCAGATAGGTCTGAGACTCCAAATAACGAGCATTTATCCAAAGTGGAGCTATGGTTCAAGTGGTAGAGTGCTAGCCTTGAGCAAAAAAGCCCAGTAAGAGTTCAAAGCCCTGAGTTCAAGCCCCAGTACTGGCACACAAAAAAATAAAAGGAAATAGCAAAATAAAGCTCTATTATGCACTGGACTCTCACAAGTATTTATTCATTCATTTGCATTTGGGACACATGTACATTTTTCAGGCTTTATTTATTTTTTTGGTCGGTTGTGGGGCTTGAACTCTGGGCCTGGGCGATGTCCCTGCGCTCTTCAGCTTAAGGCAAGTGCTCTACCGCTTGAGCCACAACACCACTTCCGGTTTTGTAGTGGTTTATTGGCGATAAGAGTCTCACGAACTTTCTTGCCTGGGCTGGCTTTGAACCGTGATCCTCAGATCTCAGCCTCCTGAGTAGCTAGGATGACAGACGTGAGCCACCAGTGCCCGGCAGTCAAAACACTTTTATGTCAGATAATGTACTAAGGATTTTGTCTGACATGCGTTGTAACTGGCTACGAAGACCCAGCTCACTGGCTTCAGTTATTTTCCAGACAGGGTCTGTAAGTTTTGCCTCAGACCTGCCCATAGCGTAAGTGAGCTCACAGGTGTGCCACACGACGCCCACTTATCGATCAAATGGGGTCTCACTAACTTTTTGCTGGGGCTAGTGTCAAACACCAATGCTCCCAATCTCTAAATCTGCACTCTGATTTTTGTGCTGGTCCTGGGCTTGAACTCAGCGCCTAGGCCTTGCCCCTGAGCTTTTTTGCTCTTTCCCCCACTCTTTTGTTCTGATGTCTTTTATTTTCTTCAGTTGTGGGCCTTGAACTAACTCTGTCCCTTGCTATTTTGCTCAAAGCTAGCACTCTACCAGTGAACTCCACTTCAGGTTTTTGAGAGGTTAATTGGAGATAGGAATCTCATGGATTTTTCTGCTGGGCTGGCTCAGAACTGCAATCCTCAGATCTGTCTCCTGAGTAGCTAGAATTACAGATATGAGCCCAGCTTTGTTTCCATTTTTAAAGGAGACATAGTATTCAAGACCACTAAAAATTAAAGAGTAAGTAATGAGACTTACTCATTAATTCCACCCCTTGCCCTTCTGGCACGCCTGACAGTTTTTGTGGCATGTGGTTTGACATCAGGATCAAGCTTTAGACCAGTGCTCTGCCACTTAAGCTGCATGTTTGTGATTTTTTTTTTCTTTTGGGTCCGGTCATGGGGCCTGAACTCTGGGCCTGGGCACTGTCCCTCAGCTCTTCAGCTCAAGGCTAGTGCTCTACCACTTGAGCCACAGCGCCACTTCTGGCTTTTTTCTTTTTGCTTATGTGGTGCTGAGGAATCGAACTCAGGGCCTCATGCATGCAAGGCAAGTGCTCTACCACTGAGCCACCTTCCCAGCCCCATGTTTGTGACTTTTTAACCAAAAGAAACTTAAACAGAAGAGTCTATGTAGCTGTTGAACTGTTAACAGTTACATAAATGAATCTAGAATATGTGGCTATTGATCTAAAAATAAGCATTTAAATAAAAACAAGGGATGTACTTACTATGCACCAGATGACAAAGGAAATTTCAAACTTGTGAGGGAAACTAAAAATGGACAGGCCAAGAAATGCAAACACACATGTTTCTGAAACAAATCAAAGAATGCGTTATTCATCCCAACCATTTTCTCCAGCAGTACGACACTGTTCAGTAGCACAACCTAACACGTTTTCCTTTATTTTCTAGAAAATCCTACAACTAATATGTATATTATATACATATGCATATGTGTGTGTGTATAAATATATATATATATATATATTTTTTTTTTCCTTTCCAGTTGTGGGGCTTGAACTCAGGGCCTGATCACTGTCCCTGAGCTCTTCTGCTCAAGGCTAGCGCTCTACCACTTTGAGCCACAGCACCACTTCCAGTTTTCTGGTGGCTAATTGGAAATAAAAGTCTCACAGACTTTCCTACCTGGCCTGCTTTGAACTGTGACCCTCAGATCTCAGCCTCCTGAGTAGCTAGGACTACAGGCGTGAGCCACCAAACACCCAGCTCGACAACTGATATTTTGGTCATGTAGGCACTGTTTCCCTGTACCTCAGAATTCCTCATGCAATGGGTCACACTGTCCCAGCCAGAAATGACAAACTAGGCAACTGTCCATTGTCTGAACACTGTTTTGGGCATGGATGCCCACAGCAAGGAGAGCCTACTGTCAACTTCCTTCCTGTGCAGAGGAAGTCAAGTGACTACCCTCAACTGGCCTCAAGGTACTGAGGCCTCAGTGTTTAGAGCCCAGCTTCTGCCCAGCTCTAGCTCCTGGCTCCCCCTGCACCCCAGGAGGGCCCAACATGGACTCTCAGTGAACTGTGTATTTTAAGACAAAACACCTTATAAATTTTAGGCACTCTGCTTAAACTATGACGCTGGTTGCTCAGAATAGCCTCATAGCTGGGGAGACAGAGACTAGATTTTGAAAATTAAACATCATAAAACAAGCAAGGCTACTTTACAACATGTCAGCTATGTCTGTTCAGCAGTCTCACACCCTGTAAAATAAGCCCACAGCTGGACATTGCTCTCTGTTCTCTCCTTGGCAGGCCTTCTTATCTAGTAATAATTCTGTGGCCTTTCCAAATAAGCAGTTACAGCGTGGGCATGGCCACCTCTGCCTCTGGCTGGCAGTGTGAACTACAGCATATGACTGGACCCTGGCTGAATCAGCCTACCCTCACATGACTGGAGCCTGGCTGAGCTGACCACTCGGGCACATGGCACTTCCCTTCAGCTTTCTAATCTATAAGCTGTAGCATCATCCTGACACACAGCCAAATCTCTACGCTTGGATGCTGGGTCAAGGAGCATATGCCTCTTGAGTCAGACAGACGCTGCAAATGGCTCTGAAAGGGATGGCCCAGTAAACTCAGCTGGTATCTTCATGCCCAGACCAGAGCGCAGTACCACCAACGGGAAATCTGCCTCGGATGGGGACAGGAGCTGACACGTTTTGTCTAGGATCCTTTGACTGTGAGGGTGTTCCGAGACAGGTGTCTGGGACTAAATACCCAGAAGAGGAGGCCTGGCCTCTACTCTCACTTTATGGCAAGAAGTCTCCGGCCTCTCCTCCCCTGAGCTGTTTACCTCCGCACAGCCAGCTCTGCCCCCCTGGCTCGTCAAAGAGAGACAAGTCCCTGGCAGCGCCAGGTGGTGCTGCTGTTGGAGCAGCTGAGAGGATACGCTCCTGTCAGGTACAAGAGGGACAGGAGGGGGGGGAGGGAGAAGGAGGAGGGGGAGAGGGAGGAGTAGGGGGAGGAGGAG